TGTGGTCTGTGCAAAGTTGCAGTAGACGGTCCCTGTTATCTGTCCTGCGACTAACAAGTCCTCATCGGCCACGTAAACGACTCTCTTCTGTGCCTAGACGCCCGACCTGAACATACACGTCGTTACTGATTGACTGACAGCTCTAGATAGAAAAACAATAGTTGACTATTATTATTTATTATGTAGTTCACAAACTAATGTATGTATCAAGTTAGAGTTTTTAATTGAAAGTATTTTTATTGAATTTCTATTATTAACAGTTTTTTTATTGATAAACTATTAACGACCTTTGTCCTGATGGATTTTTACGATGAACTTGATTTATATGTAACTTTAATACAAATGAACTTCAATAGGATCTTTCCGAGAACTAATTTTTACTGTTACTTTTCAATAGTTTTTGTATGTTGAACAGGATAGATACTAAAAATGACTGATTATAACCTCACAATAAAATGTGTTTACGGCTTACTGAAAACGCTTAAGGATAACTCGTTACATGAAAGTCCATTCCTTACCAAAAGACGGAACTTCTTTGATCCCATTTCATGTCAACACGATGATAATTTTTTATAATAATGAAAGTTAATATGCAAAATTTACTAAAGCCCTGGGTATGATCATACCTCCTGAGTTATTTAGGAAGAAAAAAACCTACAAACACACTGAATAGTTTTTTTCTGACGCATTTAATGATGAGTGCTCGTCAATCTGAGGTTACCCGGCCGTTTATCTGCGTTTAATGAATTTGTGGTATCCAACATTTTCTGGTAGTTTTCCGTTTCTTTGGTGGGTGACTTTCAGATTATAGTGGAATTTATTTAGTGATCTCATTTCAAGCTCTAAATTCCATTACATTTGTGTTTTCCTCCCACCATGTTTGAATATACTATACAATGTGTTCTTAACAGGCAGACGTGGACAACTTTCAGCGATTATAGTGGAATGTCCATTGTAAAGTACACTTATATACAGCACACAGAATAAGTGGATAGAAAAATTCCATTAAAGCCATGAACCGATCAATGTTAGACCACCATTGTAAACCTGAAAGTACTGGACAACCGTTTCGGGCTAGCATAGGACTCTTCAGAAGTAAGCATCCGCGATCCCTCAAGTGAGACTCGAACCTACAACTTTCGGTCTCGCGCAAACGCCCAAACTCTAGATCACTGAGCCGGCGTCCAAAAGTTTTAATATCTCACTCCAATCCACGATATTGAGCGACTATCTTCCATTGTCTTCGTGGATTAGTTGAAGCCAGACATTGACACCTTTGGATGTCGGCTCAGTGGTCTAGAGTTTGGGCGTTTGCGCGAGACCGACGGCCTTGGGTTCGAGTCTTTTGTGAGGTATCGTGGATGCTCTCTTTTGAAGAGTCCCGTACGGGGACAAAATGCCCATCCAGTACTTTCAAGTTTCTAATGGTGATCTAACGTTGATCGGTTCATGAGTTCAATGAAATTCAGCAATCTTCACAACCCCAAAACTGAGGATAGAAAAATGTCTGAAAATTTTTGGATGGTATAATATTTGTTGAACGTTGAAAACGTCTCGATGGCCTCAGTCATTAATTAAATTTACTTCTACGTAGAGCAAATCACAATGTTTTATCGATTCCCAGATAGTACAAAATAATGTCAGGCCATAAATTAATGCGACATAGTGTCTGGGGTTTGAAGTTTATACTAGTTGATTGAATTGTATACTCACGAATACGATTACGATTGTAACTATATGGAAAACTACCAGATATTCAGACTGACTAATCAGAATTGGGTAGGGGACACTTACAATCTTATTGAAACAGTCTAAAGTTCATTCATTAAAACACTTATTAAGTGAATTAGGATGCCTCGTATTCTGTTGGTTTTTTGATGTTACCCTCTCAGAGCTAGTTGACATAGTCGTAAAGCCTTTACTATCTCCGCAAGAGACATTCACGGCGTCTACTCTAAATATAATTGGGAGATTAAACAGAAGAGAAGCATTACATTGAATAAAGTGTGTCTCACCTTTACCTACGTACCCAAAGAGTTTGTCAGTTAAACTATACTACTTGTCAATGCACATGGACATCTATAAATGCGAATTAGATTGCGAAAATATCGGTTATAGACAAGAAGCTGTAATTGTGCTAACATATTTCTGGTGACATTTCGTACAGATCAGTATAGGATTATTAATCATGTCGAAATGAATATAACCAATTAATCTACGTGAACAAAGCTAATTGAACATATAATCATTGGGAATGGAAAAGGAATATTACTATAACAAATTTACCTTAAAAATGCAGTCGAAAATATGTCGATATTAGTACAGATTGATTTACCGTTATGGAATCACTTTAAAGTAGGAAATGATAGTTCTGGACAGAATGACAATAAAAGCTAATAATTAAAGGGTCTAATTTAAAGAACATTGATAGCATCAATATTTATCAATAAAACCATCCTTTTTTGAATTGATTTGATATTGTTTGTTTGAATCTCCCCATTGATGTTTAGGACTGCAATTGATCAGTCCTATTGGCAGATGTACATCCTGTGCGGATTGCCTCGATACTGCCTTAATCCACGAGCATTATAAGCAAAGATGGTTGATGGCTAGTAGCTGATGAGTCCTACATGGAACGAAATGCTCGTTTTGGGTCCCACTACTGGCCACCAAACATCCATCCTTTTTTGTATTCATGAGTATTTTATTGATATTGTTCATATTTTGGACCAATAGTTTGAATTTGTTCGTGTGAGTTTGAACGGATTTCCACTTTCTGGTTGTGTTTATCGGAAGGATATATCTCAAAAATCGTATGGTGGGTAGTCATTTTGAATATAGTCTAAAACGTTTATAAATTATCGTGGTTTGTAGATCAATATCTAGTGTAACAAAACATCTGAAAAGTGTTAAGTATTGGCAATATACAATAATTATCTTTAGAGGTTATACCTTCCCACAACGAAAGAAGGGGTTAGAAGAGGTCAGTCCTTCCAATAGTAAACCTGACATTACCCCATGGATTTCGTGTATGAGTAGTTAGGTTTGAATAGCTCAGAGCTAATACTTCCCAAACTACTCTCAAATAGGTCATGTTTAATTTGCCTCGAGCAGTTGTCCTTCGGTGTCATAGTTGTCACCAAGATGATCTTCACTACCCCTTTGTGAATAACATCCACGATGTGGGTTGCTGAACAATGACAATTACTCACATGCTTATTTTGGATGTAAAAGATTGGGTGCTCAACCAGTCTGTCTTTTCAAGTGAAATAAGGGCTGTTTAAGCTATGACTGTTTGGCGACTCAGTGTTTAAACATTGTCAGTGAAAGATTGTTTACATCTGATATTGAGACTGTCTAAGTAATCCCTATGTTCGATAACATGTATTTGAATACAGTAATAACATCTTAAATGTTGTCAAAATGCTGTAGTACTAGCCTTTGTGGCTTGGACATATTTTAAGACTGCCCTCCAGGTGGTTTCCACATCTCACATAATTTTTCGACGTTGCAACCGCGTTAAAAAATCCCTAGAGGCGTTTCGTTTATTAAATGGCACCATGGTACAAAAAAATAGCTACATAGGTTACAGTCCTAAAATTCATACAAACCAGTGATTCCCCATATGCTTTAGAATGGAAACCAGTAGTATTTCGCAGTAATTTTCCATTAAATTTCTCATAAAATCAAAATGGTCCATTCTGCTGAAAGAAATCTATCCCAGATGGATCCTTAACCGAATAGTACTTTTTATTAAATACTATCATTATCGATTTATATAACTAATCATCCCCACGAAAGCTGTCATTCTATTTTGTATGGAGTCATCTTTTTAGTGAACTATTATGCAAAAAATATACATATGTGTTATAAATAAAATAATAACTTTGGTCCAAAATAAGAATTTATCATAAGAGAAAATCTCAATATTGAGCGTCTATCATAACTTTAATACAAATAAACAAAACTGGTCTCAATAGATATACCACATTAATACATAAAAGTGTTTACGAAAGCTCAAAGGTGTACTCAGAACGGAATACTGTAAGTGTTGCTGTCTAATTCGTGCGGAAAGCACTGATTATATTGTCCAAAATGAAAATGAAAACTCCGTGGTTAAACTATCCAGCTGATTGAACTCAGTAACACTAAAAACATCTATCTTGGCCTCAAATCTCTATCCTTTGCAGAATAGTAGGTATTAAAAAATAATATATTAAAGGTATTAATTGTTTCCCGTTTAAATATTAACACTGGGATCTGGCGGGAGCATCTGTGATGTATTCTACTTATGATGACAGATATAGATAGTATGTAACGCTAATCGCAAGTGGAATGCCTGGTAGTAGAAGTTTGAAATGAAGAGAAGAGGAAAGAAATCGGAGTACATTCGAAATAACAACAGAATTAGACAAATATTGGGGTATGTAAATAATAACGCAAAGAAAATGTGCAAATGATGTATTTAATGTATAATTTTTATATTTCACTGAGTCATTATGATTTTGCATTGAACATTTTCATTCACTAAATATTCATTAGAAAAGCCCTAAACAATACTTCATATACATTCTGGACTTCATTTTTAATTAAAATTCAAATTATCAGTATAGGGTTGTAGTGACTCACATTTATCACGAGAACACGACTGGTTTAATAAAAACAATTATTATTATAACCAACTGTACCAGTGCTTGTTTTAATGTGCTTTTGTTTAACTGTGCTAATGACAGCTATTTTGTGCTTCGATTGATATACACACACTTTGATTGTGACTTCGCGCGAATTCGGTTACGTTCTGTAACCAAGCTTGTATCCTGGCACGATCTCGGTATCCTTTCGATACCACGAGATCGCCAGCAAATATATCTCGACTTGGTCCATTAACTGCCTCCTGATATTTGGCTTCTTGGGGATTTTATGGATTTATTTGGTTACGTTCAACCTTCGCCTTCTGATTTTCTTGGCACGTGTTTCTTGGTAGCGGTGTTCATAGTTAACCTCAACTCGACGCCACGCTACAGGGTTGTGGAGATTATTTAGCTATTGATTGAGATCGTGAACCGATTGATGTTAGACTAGTGACTAGTGGAGCTAATCCGTATCGGGTAGAAACATGTATCTACCTCAGTACAATCGAAGATAGTCGCTCAATTTCGTGAATTGATTGTGGTTAGACATTAACACCGTTGGAGGCCAGCTCATTAGTCTAGAGGTTAAGCATTCTCGCATGAGACTGAATGCCCTGAGTTCAAATCCCGTGAGCGGAATCATGGATTCTCTTTGCTGTTCATTGCTTCCAAGTTTTCACTGGTGATCTAACATCAATCGGTTCATGGTCTCAATCAAGAAAAAATTCATATTCACCAGAATAATTTCTTTCATCATTTTACTTTAATCCAGTTTTCATTATTCCTTTGATTATTATTACTATTATAAAACTTACACACATATACTACTTTTGTCTATTACTGATTACAATAACATAAAAAAGATACCTAAATCAGTTTAACTAATTGAATTTTCTCTTATTAAACTAAATAACTGGTAGAATGTTTATTAACTTGTCTTTTTTGGATTTGATGTATAGTTTATTGAATTTCTATATTATTAACCACGTGATTCGTTTGTTCAATATGTTCAATATCAATATGGTCGATAAAATAAATTTTTGAAAATAATCTAACTATATTATATAATTACATTCTTCTTAATAATACTTATCGTTGTGCTATAATCATTCTATATAGATATTTTGTTTTAATGAATAGCATAAAAGAACAAAAAAAGTATTGAACATTGAAAACGTTTAATTCATGGGAAATTGTTTACAAATTTCAACTTGTAAAAGGTTATCAAATCATTTGAAATTATTACGTAATATTGATCATAATCATAATGATAGTGATTATAATAGAAATTCAATATTTATTGAAGATTTGAATGATTTAAATAAATACTTTTTATGTAATAATCATCAATTAAAACAACTGAATGATAATAAACATGATTTATTAAATGAGAATTGTTTAAAGAAGCTTGATTCTTATTCAATATTAAATGATGATGATGATAATGATGATGATGATATTAGTAGTGATAGAAAGTTGAATTATGATTCTAACTATTACAACGATTTATTAATTCAAAGTAAATTTATAAATTATTTTATTCCTATCAAAAATAATAAAATAAAATACAATACTACTAATACTACTAATATTACTACTGTTAAAAATAAGCATAGTTACAAAATATTAAAATCAACTCATTGGCCATTAATTAATACATCTATACTTGGATTTACTATTTTAAAATCGAATATGTTAAATTTAATGGAATGGTTACAATATAATAAAGATGAAACGTATTCAATGATCAATTTTAAACAATTATCAATGAAAAATGAACAAATGAAAATCACTTATTTAAATAAAACAAATACAAATGTTAATAATAATAATAATGATCTCTTGTTACCAAGTGATTGGTTACGTTATACCATGTTTATGCATCAAACAAAATTGGATACAATTCAATTTTTAAAAATATTTCATAGAATGAAATATGTTTTGCATAGTTTAGAAATAAAAACTGGTTGTAAAATTTTAATAAGTAAATATTTATTTATGTATAAAGGGAATTTAGTACGTAAATTTGTAATAGATGGACCAAATAAAAAACAAATTCTTCAATGTTATTCAAGTTTACCTCAATTATTTAGTCGATTATTAATATTGGAATGTGACAGACCAACTACAATATAATTTATATATGAATATTAAACGAAAGTAAAAAAAACAAAACAAAGAAGGAATAGTAGATTCAGAAAAAGGTTTTTGAATACGATTCATTTTTAAAACAGTCTCCTCTGATTGTTCAATATTCATTTATGTTTACAGTATTGTATAAATTGTATACAAGCATGGTAAGGCAACAATATATATTCATATATATATCCCTTAGAAACTTTTATTTAAATGAATAAAATGAAGTACTGGGGATGATTTGTAGGTTGGGTAGATGATTTTAGTGGAATTATGTTCTTTGAGTTGAGTTTGTTTTAATTATAAAGTTTTTATTATCTTTCTGAATAACAATATTATAAACGTGAAATTTATAAAGAAGTGATTTATATGAATTTTGTCACACATGGCACGATCAAACTACTCAGCTAAGAGGATTCGATCTGACTAGGATGAATTTGTTCATTGGTAAAGTAATAAAATGGTATAATTTGATTACACCTTTTTAATCACATTTATCAGTCGATAAGAGGAGATAAAAGGAATAAAAGAAATAAGAACGGAAAGGAAGCAATATTATTGGTAGAGAAAGTGAATAGTCCAGTTATTTTCTTTATCTGTGATATACAGTGAATGCTTCAGTGTTTTATGAAGAGATTTTTGTAACTTTGAATGTAGTTTCCTTTACAAAATGATATCAATTGTAGAACTACTGAAAATCACGGAGCGTTGGACAGCTCGAGACCTACCATCAGTGAACATTCACGATTACATAGGTCTCTGGGTCAGCACAGAATTTAGTCAGAATGGAATGGTCTAAATTTCAACTCCTGTGTCAGATTGTGAACAAATGTGGTTCACAATATATCTCATTGATTGAATGTACTGAAGGTGTCTCGAACTAGGACACAAAAACTGTTAGATACCCTGGGTTTTTCAATGGTTCTTCAGAAAAAAATATCAGCTCATAACATAAACTATTCCCATAACAGTAGGTATTCTAGAAATTCCAACCATATGGCCTTATGTTATCACGTTCGCCTTGATACTTAAATTTACTCGACTAGACCCCATGTTTGATCATGGGTGTTCATTATCGAGGAGTCTCAAAAGAAAATGAAACAATTGTCCAGCGCCATGTGGTTTCCAATAGGTTCTTTAGTTAACTTCAGTCCGTGACATAAAAAGTTATATGCCGATTGTAATTTCGTTAAAGATGGTGCATTTTTTTCGGAAAATTAAATCAATATTTAACTTCATTTAGTTCAGTTGACCTTATGACCCATTCACATGAAATTTATCGATTAACTTTATACACTAATCACATTCCATGAAAAACATATTGTCTTTTTTAATGTCTGTTAAAGTCAGCCAAAATCAGCTAAGAAATTAATTCTATACATTTGAGTGGGAAAAGATTAAATGTTGTTAAAACCATTGTCTTTTTGAAGTGATTTCGATGAGGCTATAAATTCATTTATCTTTGAAACATACTGATTTTCAACCTTAGTTTTTAAACTATATAAATATAACCACCCGGAGCCCCTCTAGAGCTACTGACGGTCCCAAGCCCGGATAACGTTGGAGGGTTGGGTAATGGGTTACGACCTCGTCCCGTAGAAAACTAACTCGCTAAAAAAACGCTAACCAAAAAAACGTAATATATATAAAGATTAGAGGCGTACGACTATCACTATTATGTATTGTTCAGTTGTTTATGTGCATTATGTTCTTTTTAATTCTATATTAGTTGTGTATAACTATGTTCTTTCTTATTATCAGAGTTATATTGTCAAACTTCACTGCTAAACATTTCATAGATTAGTTTATAAATCTTGAATTAGTGTTCAATAAGTCAGTTGTTTAGTGTACATGAACAGGTAACTTATACAGTAACCAGAGAGTGGTGATTAAAGTTTACTATTTGTAGTGTACATATTAGAAAATATGTAAGTTGAATTGTCTTTCAATAACCAGTGTATTTATTGTTGGAATGCCGTCTGTCCATCTGTCTATCTATCTATCTAGCTATCTATCAGGCAGTCAGTCAGTCAGTTGTTAGTAAACAATATAAGATCTGGTCTAATTTGTTACATTTCACATCAGCATAATGAAGAAAACTTGGAATATGAAAAGTTACGTTTTTCAAATTTTAACATAATTGGTGTACGGAAAATTGGTTCAGAAGAAACGAATGAAATAGTGAGATGTAAAACATGCGGTATTATACAAACTCAATCAAGATTGTTTCTATTATGACTAATTTTCAGTTACTATAGTTAACCATAGATAGAAATGATCTATTAATAAGTAAATGATAATTGAAATGATCATTACTTATTACCTACTTGTATTAGGTAGCATTATTAGGTAGAATGTTATGTTAAAGAGACGATTATTAAAGCTGTTAAAACATTTGAAACACTGAGAAATATTCATACAATTGATTCTATACTCGGTCTATTATTCTGCAAGAATGAATTACAACTCGTAAATAGGGTGATAAAAGAACCTGTTTGTAATCTACTGCAGTTTCAATTTGTATTCCTCTGTTGTCTTTTGATCGGGTAATTAACTGCTTGTTAGTATACGAACAAAGCGCTTGAAGAATGTAATATGTATTGAACGGTAGGAAATATGTGATCGTTTGTAGGAAGATCTCGGAATTTACTTATCAGAATATAATTGATCCCTTAGCAGTGTATAAAGTAATATGACGTAATCATAGGATTGTGAATAGAGTAACATGTATTTATGCTATCAAATTAGTCTTGATAGATTAGAAGGATAAGAGAAATTTCGCTAAATAAACACTGTTTACGTCGTGTCATTGAGGAGATATATTAATGTTAAAATATGAATTAGAAATTTTTACCAACTCTTTAGTAAAACTTCAGAGCACTATCCGTAAGATAAGGTAGAAAACCTTTAAGATTTATGACAATACACCCATGAGCTGCTCGATGGACCATATGAGTAATTTGTCGAAGTACAACCAACACCACACTACTTAAGATTAATATTGTAAAGTTGTATATTTAATCTGAGTTTCATATTTTTAAGAAATATTCCATCATTTCTACAGAAATATAGTTCGATAGCTTATATTGTTAACTTATTAATTTAAAACTCACTGTTAAGTAAAAGGAAATATTAAGAAGAGCTCAGATTATGCAGTTTTGTGCTATCACGTATTAGTTGTTTCTATAAAGGACAATTTCATGATTCCACAATAAAAATTTTTTGTTATCTGATTTATTGTTGTTACTTTTAGTCCGTTAATTTTGTTTCAAGGTAATTAAGTTTAAGAAATAGAAGGGATGTTTCATTTCAATTTTTTATGTCTATTCAAAGTACAAATTCATCTTGAAAGCCTTATCTTCTCTACCTCATAATAACATGTGAATGTTTGACGTTGAAGTGTTTCAGTGTCGGTTGTCATTCTGTCGAGTCCTCCATAAAAATCGTACACATTAGAATAAACTCGATTATTCTCTGATATGCAATTACCATAGGCATATACCGAACCATAGTTTCAAGATAACAACAGGAAATCTGCTTTATACTAGTTTATTGTGCAAACTGCTTCCATTTGTTTGCATTTAATGCAAATGATTTTAATCAAAACGTTCGGATTATGAGTAAGAAAGCTACATAACAATAACAGTTCTAAAATTATAGTTAATGAATAATCTTATAGATACTCAATAAACACAATGGATAATGCTAATAAGTTGGAGTTATTCCCTCAGTAGGTGTTGATCGATTCCAAATGGTTGTGGCAAGTACAAATCAACAATTTAAAGTTGTGAATTTGGATATTTTATTTAATCTCAGTCAGTCAGTCAGTCAGCTACAACGTAGGACCAGGCACATATGTGCATCGGTCCAGGTTGCCATACCTCATTAGCACAGCAAGATGAACAGCGGATTCATAGGAGTGGTTAGGTCAAAGGTTGCAATAAGGATATAGTATAGGAAGAAAGAATTAGTTCGTAGACAGAAAGAATGAAGTGATTTTAATCTCCGTACTTATCGAGACCTTACCGCCGGAGACGGATATCCGTGGGATAAGGCGAGGTGTGCATTTTTCTAACCCCACCCCTCCTTGTGGGAAGGCAGCATCGCTGTCATGCTGGTTGTCTGAAGGAAACACCTTACTGCTGTCACACCTCTGTACAGTCAGCAGTACGACTTCGCCTTCGGACCTTGGATTTGTTGCTTTTAGTCTTACCGCTCTTCAACCGACCTGTCTGACATGGTAGGACCTTGAGGAAAGGTTGTTCCAGCCAGTATAGCTCGGTTGCTTCATCACGATAGGCAAGCCCGACCACCACGTCAAGGTAGCAACAACGGTCGGGATTTTATTTAATCTTCCAGTTTATGAATTAGATTTATCCTTAAAAATTACATCATCGAAAAAAATTCAACCTAAACAAAATTTTAGCTCATTCGCTAATACAGAAAGCAGATAGATATAAGTTGGTAAGTCATATCTTGAAAGATATATATTTGAACACTGTTCCGAACTGAAAAATTTCAGTATGTGTAGGTTGTATTCGTCACATTTTAATCTCAGTTGGAGTATCGTTGAAAATCGGAGTTTATTAGTTACCTATCCCGTACTAATACGCTCATCCATCATGCCACCTGGAGTTGAGCCCAGGACCTTCACTTTTCTGGCGAATACCATTAGAGTCACTGAGTAGTCAATCAGTGGCAGGATTTTAACTTTCATCAGTTTATTATATAGCGAAACGATCAGCTAATACCATTGACGACAATTAATTCACTTCCGAGATACTTAACTCTATTAGTCACGGATTCCTATTTAACCTTCAGAAAAAAACTTGAAGAAATCCCTAGTAAACGGTTTACTATAGTCTAGTTGAAAAATATGTGTGGAGTTATGTTCAGTTTGTAGGTTGCACACTAGGACCAAGTGACCGTCTCTCTCTGCCTAGTTTTCAACAATACCTTATCTAAGATTAATTTGTAACTGGTACAACCTATAAATAAGACCGTTTTAAAACATGTTCATGATATTGTTTGGTCCTAGTTCATTGATATTGAAATTAGAGAGACTAGATCTCATATTTATCAGATTGGATTCAGTTAAACATTTGTTCTGACAAATAGTAGAAAGCTAAGAAACATTTCATATCCACAGTGCGTTAATGAGTTTTTACACATAAATTAAAAAATATCAGACTTTACTAGTTCATCATTTAGTTTTGAATATCAATAATGAAATGATTCAAATCCTTACTGATATTGACAAAAACACCACATACAATGAACAAGTTAATGACCAAATTCACTCCATGGCTTAGTGAATAACATTAGGAACATCAGTTTTCTTAGGATCTCAAGCACACCATATTGACAAATATCAAATAACACAAAACCTAAGTTCAGACTTCCCTGTCGACT